TATCGGATAATATTTTATATAAATTTTATAATAAAAAATAATATTTTAGAGAAAAAAATATATAAAAAAAAAATAAATTTGGAAAAACATTAAAAATATTGTGATTTATTGTATTTTTCCAATAATTTATGATTTTGGAGAATCGAAAAGTAGGCTCGCTAAAGTAGCGGATACGGAATTATTTGAGGAAATGAAAAATAAAAAATTACGTAATATTAGGGTACGAAATATATTTATAAATAAAATTATTAAAAATGTTCACATTCGGAGTACTTTTGGAAATTACGATATCGAAACAGGGTACGCTGTTGTGGCGCGAATTACATTTCGTCACTTTTAAACGTTAAAGTGTCGTTTTGTATGGCAGGTACAAAATATTCTATATCTTATTAAAAATAGGTTATCCGTAAAAAAAATCAAAATTATAAATATAATTATAATAATATTAGATTAGATAATATTATATAATATTACATTAATTAAATTATATTATAGTATAACTATAACTACCACTATATTAGACTACGCTACGCTATACCTACAACTACACTACTGGGCGGACGTTATTTCTTACCCCAGGTACCCAGAAGCCATTGCGAACCCCATATTTAATATTATTTCCTTTGGTAATACAACCATATTGAAAAATACATAACTGTCATTACCATACACGCATTGACAGCAAAACAATTACCTTCCATCCAAATGAGAAAAATAATTAATTCTGCAGCACACGCTCCGTTTTCTTGTCATGACTTTCTCTGGACATGGATTCGTTTGATTTCGGTACGAATCCCGGCGTAATCCTACGGAATTTACTAGAACCTGTGTCAGCCGCATGGCACGCCGCTTACGTCAGACATCAGTAATATTCCGCCTGTTTGATTTATCAGAACGGTCATCCTCCGCATAATACACCAAATTTCATGGTATTTCCAATATATAAATTTGGATATGATCGATATTATATTACTATGGTTTCTATAATAAATTCTATTTCATATCAACCAACCCTTTCATCCATTTTCCCATGACATACCGCTGATCGGATCGATTTTTTTTCAGATCATTTTCTTATGCTTTTGGTTACTTCCACGCAATTTCCATTCCTTTTATAAATCTCTTAGTTTTCTGCCCAAAATCCGCGTCTTAGCCAGAAGCAGCAGCACAAGCAACAACAACAGCAGCAACAAACCAAGCAGCAGACCATTGCAAAGCCTTGCCTTTCCAAAACCTCTCTGGGCTGGGCCCTGACTGGCTGCAAATTTCACAAGGTCCGAACGAAGTGCGAGTGAGGTCCGAAATCGAATCTTAGGAAATTGACCTACGAAATTTCTTGACGCAGTGTTTGGTAGCCACACGTTTTCGCATTCTTTTCTGCGGCCCAAGGCACCCAGAGTGGGAGATAAGTGTGGGCGACAAGTAGAAAACAAGTGTAAACTTATGCGGCCCAAGGCACCCAAATTATAAGGGACAAGTGGAAGACAGCAGCTGCAAGCAAGACCAAGGAAACAGATAAGAGAAACAGAAGGGAAACA